GCTCCAATTTGTCTATGGCCCTGGATCTTCTCTGGTATACTATCCCTTTATTTCGGCAAATTTCTACTATTTTTCCAGCGATCCGCGGTGCCTGGTAGAGGCTAGTATTTCATACTACATGTATAATTAACAATGCAAGGTCAAACATGGGGTGACACCAGCAAAGTATACGCTGGCACAGTCAGTTAATCCTTCACACTCACCCAAAGTCACAATCTCCCAGAGTAGAATTCCGAAAGACCACCTGCAGTACATATCGGAGGAAAGCAAAAAGTTTCAGCCAAAGTTAAAATGAAGTCATCATTGGTAATTTCCTTGAACAAGATATTTATGAAAGAAAAACTCCGAAGGGTCAAATTTGTGGTGGGTCATAGATGTTGTCGATTCTACCTTTGTGAAATAATTTAATCAACAGTTCAAACCTACACGTCACTCTGTGTTGTGTATATCCTCCTGCTCAGCGCCTCTAACGCAGTGGATCGGAAAGGAACAGCTCTCTGTAACACATAAAACAGTTGTTATCTACAACATTTGAATGATGTCTTTGATGCTGCGAAAGGCAAGTTTTTGATTATGCAAGGCAAGTTTTTAATCACTTGCTATTGATTACTTATATTATGCTGAAGGGTTTTAATTAACGTTTTAGTTACTATATTGTTGTATATACTTACTTGAGACGTTTGTTCATAGATGCCCTCCCCACGTGACAGGCCGAAGTCAGCAACCTTGGCGATAAGACTGTCTGTAAGGAGAACATTCCTGGCCGCCAGGTCACGGTGGATCACCTATCAAGCAGAAAAAAGCACAATTTACGAAGATGAAGAAATGTACACATGACTCGTGCTATGTTTGATGCTATCCAAAGACTATAAATCTCTAAACCACAACCCTACTAATATATTAACGTACGTCTTTAGAAGACAGGTGTTCCATCCCCGTCGCCACGTCACAGGCGATACGGAGGAGCTGGACCGGTGACAGGGTGGACACGGTGTCGACAGTCTGACGGATGCTGCCGTCGGCTGGACTTGTCGTTTCCAGGATCCGAGATGTTCTCAGGTACTTCTTTAGATCGCCATTTCCGGCCATTTCTAGAGCCATATACTGCTGACCTGAAGATGAATATGCTTGTATTTTGTACAATTTCACATCAAATGATATAGATTACAATTTTATCCAAATTGATATATCAAGTCGAATAGTGTTACTAAATTGTATACTCAAATGCCTTAATTCACCTGTGCTTATAAGTAGCATATTGAAATGCAAAATAGCACATTTCTATGGACTTAGCTTAATAATATAAAACTAAAGAACTGATCACACCTGCTTAGATGTGCAAGAATCACAAGTTTTTTCAGTATTCCAAAAATGTACCCGCCTCTTGCAGCATGTACTCTGCCAAATGGCTCACCTTGGTGGTCACAGGTTCCCAAGAGGTTAATGATATAAGGATGGTAGCCAACATGGCGCATGATGTCCACTTCTTGTTGAAAGTCTTGCCTGTCAGCTTCATCCGCGCCACCTTAAAAGAAAGAAAAAAAGTGATTTCAATTATGACACGAATGCTTTTAGTAGCCCTTCAAATCTTATGATGCATAAAGGATTTTAGCTAACATAGTATTATTTATCATATATATCAGGATCAATATATTATGAAAGTATTTCGTGCAGGTATCGTGACGGAGCTGGGGCATCTTTCCTTACGTTTCAGTACTTTGATTGCCGATGGCACCCTTTCACCATCCAGGTTGACTGTTCCCTTCCGGACCTCCCCAAAGTTGCCTGTTCCAAGCAGCTTGGAGGTCAGAGAGATGTCGTCCCAAGTCAACTCGCGGTCGCTGATTGCCATAATCTTCAGCGGGAGGGGCTGTTGTGGAAGGAGGCATAAAGCACATAAACACTTTGACATCTTCCGTAAATAATTTCATCAGGTTGGTAAACGAATGAATAGAAAAGTTTTTTGTTCGTTGTTCATAATATAAGATGTCAAAGTGAATAGCAAAGTTCTTTGATCCAAACCATTTATTTTTCACGAGCCGATGTTTCGATGACCGTCTGTCATCTTCATCAGGGTAATTTTGACTGGTTTACTGTGCACTGACGCTAGATGTTACTTGGTGCATAGCGCACTAAATGTGTATGTTTGTTACAATTGCACTGCATTCGGAAATGCATTGTTAACAGTAAAAACTAGCTTAAGTGCAATGTGAACCATGTAACATTGCACTGTGAACCATGTAACACCTTTAGTATAGTGCACTGTGCACCAAGTAACATCTAGCGTCATTGCACAGTAAACCAGTCAGAATTGCCCTGATGAAGATGACAGACGGTCATCGAAACGTCGACTTGTGAAAAATAAATGGTTGTGATCAAAGAACTTTGCTATTTACTTTGACATCTTATATTATGAACAACGATTGCAGTGTCAAGGTAAGTGCAAGGGAAAATGTACAGGAAAAAGTACCTTGCTTGGAGGTTATGACCTGATTTTCATTGTGATTATGTATGGAAAATGGTTCAACATTCCAGGACCACCATAATACATCTTACCCTGTAGTTCTCCATGATAGTCGGTTTGGAGCCATGATGTTCACCGTGGTGCCTAGTTGAAGTTGGGTCCCCATCAGCCACATCAGCAGTTCTTGTGACTTCTTGCAATCTCAAGCTGGTTTGGTCTAAAATGGGTAACAGATCCACTTAATTTGTCATATTGCAATAACTGTAATTGAGTGATGGTGATACTTATGTCTAGGGATATCATAGAAAACATAGTTACTTTCTTACCTGAAACGAGCGGTGTATCAGAAAACCCTTCCACATCTGAAATATTCTCACGGACATGGCGGGGAGGCCGTTGCTTTCGTCGCCTGTAAACAACAACAACTACCAAAATCAGGCCACATTCTGTAATAGTTGAAGCTAAATACATGCTGAAATAGACCAATAGTGTATGCTTAAACAGACCAACACAATTGAATAGATACATTTATACATATGAACAAAGTTAATAATTACCTTTGAATGAAGAAAATAACGGCGACCACTATTATTACGAATACTACAGCAGATACACCCCCAGCTGCGCCGGCTACCACGCCAGTTGACGGGCCTACAAATGCACGAACAAAACAGAAAACTAAGTCAAACTGGACAAATTACCAGCACGAGTATTGAGTGACTTGTTTATAGCTATATCTAAAACTCTGTAAATGCACTTACAGTTGTGATCGCTTTGCTTACCTACTGGACAATGAGGTTGATCCTGGCATGTCTGTGTTTCACTTGCTGTCCTCTCATAGTCACCGATCAAGACGTACAGTGGACGTCGAAAATTTGGGGGTACGTGTTTGCTACCTTTCTAAACAGTCGCTCATTGATGAATATTCTACTAACTGTCAATCCTTATGAACTGACATCAAACACACCTCTCTTACCTGCCACGGTTTCTGGTGTTGATACAGTTGCGATAGGCCCAGGTCTCCCTCTCCCTCCCTCCCCCGGTCGACTCAGAACCAGCCGTACGTTGTAGGTCGTGTTGGGCGACAGGTTCCTTATCCTAACCTCTCCCTCCTCGTTATTCGACAAGGTTTCCCACGACGACCCATTGGACAGTTTGTACTGAATGTCCTTAGCGATGATCTCCCCATTTCCCGTCCAAGCGAGTTTGCTGAGTTGGATGTCCACAGCCAGTTCTGTTGTGCTCGTCGCACGGACGGGAGGGGGAACTGTTGTGGTCGGTGGTACTGGAAGTAGAACAAAAAAAATCTGAATATGGACAAAATAGTCAATCTTGGAAGACATTCTGAACATCTTCTGACATAGCCACACTAATTTAAAGCTGAAAAGAGCTAAAGTTAATTAATTGCACTAAAATTCTTTACTGATTAGACAAAAAATGACCGCACTTAAAACGTACAGTCTGGCCAACAGAATTATTTGCCAAAGACGCCCAAACATAGCTTGTACGTCATTAATCTATTGGGAGTCCTATATATAGTCATTTCAACATTTTGTCAGTGGTGAATACAGATGGCTTCTTCTTACACATTAATGGATGTAGCGATATACTAACCTTTTACATCTACTGTCACCATCCTGTTGTCCTGCCCCGCTACTGTACTGACCATACAGCCGTACTGTCCCGCATCAGTTACGGAAACGTTGCGTAGCAATCTGCTATGAATTGTGTTTCCGCCAGCAGTAGGCATCTGTGTTGGCAGACCTGGATTTCGGCCACTAAACGTGAGGGCGACATCGCTGGTCTGTGGGAGCGGGTCTCCGGCAGTCTCACACACAAACGTCACGTCTGTTCCCGCGTTCAACTCGATAGACCCCGCGTTAGTACTGCTGGGTATGGTGCTGAATCCGGTCACACTTGGGGACATTCCTGAAAAACAAAACACGACATAAGGGTTGTTCTAATGAACTAATCTCTCTATATCTCTCTGTATAAGTCATAATTCATTTCACTTTTTCTCCTTTCTGCCTTTTTTCGTTTGAGGCAAATAAGAAAAATGCATATCCGTCAGAAACTTTCATAACTTCTACATTGATTATCATTCGTATTAAATCCACTGGCAACAATAGTTAGTTTGTTCCCTCTTCTCACAATGTTTTGAGATATGATTTGCCTTTTTTTACTGTTAGATGGTTTTTCTGATAAATTACCAAGTTAACCCATGACAAACGCCAGGCCCTTGATTTTCCTCAATAACAACGCCTGATAGGACGGAGTACTCTTACCTGTAATGTAAAACGCTGTGCGTTCCTGGTACGTAGAGCCACCGGTACACCGGAAGCCTAGCCATCCCAGCTTCTGCTCTGGAGTAAACCTGAGAGTCTTCCAGCGGCTGTTGGCTTGGTCTGGAAGTGACCGGGATTGCAGCGGCCGATCACCACTCGTCTGTTGAACGGTCAGTTCAGGACAGTCATCCTCTCCCCAGGGGTGACAGGATCATGTAACCGTCACTTCAGCATCAGAAGTGGCGCGTGTGATATGTAGGGCTGGTGGGTCAATCACGAGTCTGAACTCTGCAATGTGAGTAGAAACAATAAAAGATAATTTGAGATACATGATGATACTTACTATTACTTAGTATTACTTAGTGAGAGGAGGCCCAGATTTGCTGGACACTGCTACAGACACAAAGACGAGCTCGCCAGTGAGCTGTTACTCTGGGCACCAACCCATGGACACTCCAGTGCGGGGGACCCTATCGTACCTTTATTGCCCAACTTGCTGAAGATGCTGGGGTGAGGGCCGAACACCTGGGGCAGTTAATGGCGGACAGAGCGGCTTGGCGAGAAAGAGTGGACTTGGTCCTGGCAATTCGTCCGACCTGATGATGACTTACAGTGAACCTTTAGATTTCATTGATACAAATGATACAAACCAAAAGATCTACAGAAATGCATTTTAATAATTTTTAAACCTGAGAAATTAAAATCGAGAAGTGTCTTTTCATGAAACACAAGGAGAACTGCGATCGAGCTTCTTTGATATTATTTCTAAACTAGAGTTCCCCGATCTTATACCTTCACAAATTGATGTTAATCTTTATGACTGACAACACTGTATGAAAAACCACGTTTCCAAGAGTTTCCAGTCCCGCACACGCCCGTGAAATTCGCCGTGTCCTGGTCGCGTCCATGGATTTCCGGGCTCCGCATGTACGGCCCCGGATATTTCCTTACACTCCCGGATTCGTGCTCGCCGTGCATGTGCACGGACATTTACGCCTCGCACACTTGGCGTGTGTTGGGAAGCGGCTAACAATAAGGGGTAATTAGCTATATATAGGTACTGCGTGTATTCATGTTTCAAGTGATAATTACTTGAACCAAAGTTGCCAGTACTTTAATCTAAGCAAATTAGATATAGAATGATCAAGGATTGTTAATACAACATTTGAACCTATGCGTCCTTGGCTTGATTTATCGTCATGTCGTCCATACGACAAAGCACATTTGAGCGTAGGGCGCCCCGACGCTGGGGTTATATAACCTACTCGGTCAAAATGACCTAAATCTACACTCCAGTCTAAATCTGAATTTTTTTATTTTGGAAATAATAGTTTATCCGTGAGGTTCATTACCATGATGTAATCAAACGCTTGACTAAAGGGGTTTGAACTAACGTGACCTGATCAGTTTGCTATAATTTTTAGGTACATGTATAGGTAATAATATGCAAGCTTCACATTGTAGTTCGGTCGATGTGTATTGTGATGTGTCTGACATGGCGTCCATTTATGTGAATAGCCTTTGTGTAAACAAAGGGAGAACTCACAGCGTCCCCACGCTTGGTAAAATACTGAAATCCAGCAAAACAAGTCAACCCTCATGACATTGATTGTGGATTTTGGATACATTTACAAAGAGTAAGGTTATGTTGGAGTTAAAGTGCGGCTTTATTTCACTCAGTGAGCGACAAGTTGTGTAATTCTAGAACGAATAAA